TTTAACTGTAAAATTACTAGCTGAAGCCTCAGTCACACAGGTGGTAGCATAATTCTGGGGTGACCAGGATGGTGGGGCTGCTGTCTTGCTTTGATGCTAATGACACGAGGTCTAGTGAGCAGTGGTAAAAATTCATGGGAATAGGATACAATGAAGGATGAAATCGTAAGAAGAGGTCTCATGAAACAGCGGTTTATTTAGTGACTTGTAGTGTCCTGCAGTATTATATGGTTAATATTTCTCTTTCACTCAAGTTTGCTTATTTACAGGGTAAGAGAGAGGAGATGTGATTCCCAATGCCGAGTGAAGGAAGAGCTGCTGAGGCAGGGAGTTAGCAAAAGCTTTTCATGCCAGTGACACCTGAGCAGACTTCAGCGACGTCTGCATGCCGGAAAGATGCGGTCGCAGGGAGATTTACTTAAGCATAATCAGCTTCAGGAAATCCTTAGCAGACGTTTAAAAATAAAAGCAACTTGATTGTGCTGTCTACAACAAAAACCCGCCAAACTATCCCTTGCTCCCACTGAAAGCTTGCCAAATTATGATATTTCACTAGTTTTATCCATGTTTTGTACCTAATTGCACCTTCTGAGGTAAGAGGTTCTTCAATCCTGAAATCATCTTGGTATTTCACACTAGATACAGAAACAAGTTTGTTACTTGGTCACAGAACTCGGAGGTGGATTTGCTGTTCTTGAGTGTGCTAATTTCTTTCTTTGGCCCGTTTGTATTTTTTGCAGCAGAATTGGACGTGCCACTCTTACCTGAGGTCATGTCTGAGGTCATTTCTGTCCTGCCAGCAGGGACAGGAACAAGCAAAGCAATCTTTTTACTAATTTTACTTTTTTTTCAATTGCCTTGCACACGAGAGACAGCTTGGAGAGACAACTGCTCCCACATAGCGTGTCTGTATTTTGTGTACGGCAGTTCCATTGACTCTTGATCCAGGCATAGGTTGGATGCTGTTTTTTGTTTTTATTTTTTTTTTTCAGTCATGGCAGCTGATGTAGCTTTTAAAAGCAGGCAGATGTACTTGGCCAGAATGTTGAGAGAGCTGAAGCCTCTTGGCGAGTGTTTTGCTGTGTCTTTCCAAATGCAGTAAAGGTCAAGGGTGGCAGAGAGGAGAGATGGGCACTAGAGCAGAAATCATGTTCGTAGTCCTCTTGGTAAGAGGTTTTCCTGTGTCAGGCAAGGTTGTGCATGGGAAAGAGGAAGACGACATTCACTTCACTTGGAAATGGACAGGCCATCTAAGCTCTCCCAGCAACCACAAATGGGTTGCCTGCTTCAGGAGGGCTTGCCAGATCCTGCTTGTGATTCATGCTACTCCTGCACAGTGATACAACACTTGTATTGCTTCACAATTTTTATGTTGCTCACAGAAGTTGCCTGGGGCCTTCTTGCCTCTCGGAGGCCATCGGAGCCGTTCCAGAGCTCGTCAGTGCTCAGGAGCTGTCACCGGCACCCAGGTTCCTTCAGCGGTCATCGCTGTTTGTATAGCGGTAGTGGCTGCTTCTGCTGCTCCGCGGTCTCCTGTGACTTGAAATACCCAAAGCAGCACTGTCATCTGAAGCAAGCAGCCTGCCTTCCAACTTGACTGCTCTGCAGCTGCCTTAGCCTCTCTACACAGCATGAGGACAAGATGCTCTTGCAACTGCTGCAACTTGGTCTGGGTTTGCTGGCACTGGAGGTAAAACTGCCCCAAGCTGCCTTTTAAGTATTGTGAAATCACCCCTGGAGACCAAAGGGTCTTGTGGAGGCTGGCTTATTTCTTTCATCGTTTAGATCATTCTAATTTTTTTCAGCTTTTGAAAAGATTTCTGGTTTTTAAGTATGAATGGCTGATGGAATGGGTTGTTTTCTGATATTTAAGTCTTAAAATTGAAACACTTTATTTCTTTTCTTTTGAAAAGATTTTTATAAACTGGACTGTTTTTTACTTGATCTAAAATCTCTATATCCTGCTTCTCCATTATGGAGTTACTTTTAGGGTTTTCTAAGACCACTGAAAGGTCTGCCTGACTTCTTGAGGTTTGCAAAGTAGTTCTTGATAAATAACTTCCCCTTATTTAGTGCTGCTCTTGCTATTCTGATCTTTGACCAGTTCCTGAGGTCTGATAAAGCTTTGTGTCTTACCCTGGAGTTGCATAGTGTTTTTATCAAAGACCTGTCATATTTTTATACTAATCTTGATTGTTTTGATGCTTTGTATCTTTGAGGTATAGGGTCTTTTTGTGACGACATGGTGGAACCCATTGGCCTTCTGTTTCCTCGGTGCTTATATAAAGCTCTTAGGTCAATAAATGCCAAAATAATTGATGGTTTGTTGGGTTTTGTTAGTTCTTATTTTCTGAGAACAGTCTTGATAATCCAGAAGTACTGTAGCTGACCTAGGTATACTTCCTATTGTTGTTACCTGTTTTACTGTTTTGTTTTTGGATATACCTTGAGTGGATCTCAGAGAATATCATATTCATTGGCCATTTAAAGAGTTTTTAATTTATTAAAATACTCTTATCAATGCTTTGAAAAATATCATCTCCCAAAATAAGTTCAAACCTTGTTTCACTGCTAATCAAAGTTTTTAAGTATGTGGATAGTTGATTTATTTATATATTTATTGAGGATATTAGAATGGTGAAAGGTATAATTCGTATTAAAAGATGAAGTAGGTCTGTTGCTTAAAATGCATTTGAAACTGGCAGTTGTTTAAAATCTGTTAGGTTTAGTCTCCAAGGCTTAGGTTTGTACAAAACATAACCATGAACTGAAATTTATTAGAGCTGAGCAGTATTTTGGAGTGCAGAGTTGTGTTTATTTAAACATTCCTATGTAGTATTTGCAGCAGGACCTTTGTGTAAGGGAGCCAGAAAATAAAACTGACCTCAAAGGGAGAGCCTGAATTTGGTTGCTTCGTGCTGAGAAGCAGCAAATGGCATCAAACTGAAGCTGGACCAATAGTTTATCAACAAATGTATTTGTGATCCTGATGTGTGGGTCATTTGCCAGGGTTGGGTCCTGCTCAAGACCTGTCTCTTTTAAAAAATAAAAAGGGAGCTGTAGCATTACTTCTAACCTTGTGTGTGTTTGTAACTCTTCCTAAAGAAAAGATATAAACTGTCTGGCATCTGACTGTATTGGGTTCTGTGTTATGCTCTTGTGGTCCTTAATTGATTCTGAAGTGTGGGTTTTTTTCCCTTTTCTGTTTGTTTTTTCTTTTCACAAAGTGTTTTTTGTTCTCCTGTAGCTGCTCGTGTATGTTGATACATAAGCCTCCCCCACTGAACGCTCAAAAATGATACAAAAACTGAACACTTCAACTAGAAGTTGTTGTCAGTGAAAGGTTATATAAACATGACACAAATTCACCTACTGTCAACATGGTTGATGTTTTCTTTTAGGGTGAAGGAACAATAGCAACTCTTGTTTCTGAAATAGTTCTCCTTTGCATCACTAATAATATGCAGCAGGGCTCTTGGTTTATTTTAGTCTGATGGGGATAAAGAGTTGCTGAGTCAAAATGTTAGGCAGCATGCGGGAGGTCGCCTGAAAGCAACTGCTTCCTCTTGCCAGTTAACAGAAACATCTGTGAACCCTGAGAGCGGGCTTCCTTCCCAGCTTAATGCAACTTTGACACGATGGGTGTGCTCCCTCTGCACAAAGTGCTGTATATGTTGGCTAAATGAGGTCTGTTTCGTAGGGCTCACAAGTGTATGCACACCCTTTTGAATATTGCTGTAGGAAAAAAACAGCGAGATATTTAAGGTCATATGCATTAATGATTCATACGTTCCCCTCGGTGTACTTTTTTTGGTGAGGAGTCAGCGTTTCCTGAATTTATGTGGGGGAGGGCAGGGAAGGGAAGGCAGAATATGCTCCCGGGTGGATGCTACGCATCTGAGGAGCTGCAGCCCATAATATACAGGAGCTGCACCAAAAAAAAAAAAAAAAAAAAAAAAAAAAAAAGTAATTTTTTTGTCCAAGGGGTTGGTAATCAAGTGTCCCAGGGTGTGGTTTGATGGTGGCCCCACTGATCAGCAATGTGCCTGGTGATGGGCTGTGATGCAGGGCAGTCTCGTGTCCCTGAGACGTGGGGCTGCGGCATCAGGGATGCAGGGAGAGCCGCCCTGCGGGGAAACGTGGGACCACACAGGGCTGGCGCTTTGTTCTGGAGAACCTGAAAGACAATTCATTCACCTGCCAAGGAGCGCTATTTTTTCATGAGACTCATCTGAGCAACACCAATTTTCCAAAGAGGTTTTAAAGAGTAAAATCATAGCTAGTACTCTGTATGCTTTTCTTCATCCTTGTCCTCTTGCCCTGCCTAAAAGAGCTAAATCTTAGATTGCTGAAGTGCTTACAGATGGATTATTTTTTCTCCTTGTTTCCTTGAGAGGATAAATCCATCCTAAAATGTCTTTCTTCGTGGGAAGTCTTCGTTCCAAGGTAGTGCCTGGGGAAGGGCCACACTGAATACAGCGTAAATCAGAATTTGCCCTCCTATTGTGAAAAGCAGGGACCTTTCTCTATGTAGCGCCATGCGTGCACGTGAAGAGAATACAAACGTGCCTTTGTGTTCGCGGTGCTGCTGCTGCGCGCTCCTCTGCAGCGTGGGGAGCAGCGAGGAGGAACCCCAGCCCCGCGAGCCGCTTGGGCGCACGGGGCCGAGGAGAAGGTGCCGCGGCTGCCGGGAGCCTCGTCGCTGTGCCCGCATCAGCAGCGTCTCCGGAGCATCCTGGGAATTGCTGGCCCGGCGCGCGGAGCAGCCGATCACATGAGCTGAATTTTCAGTTCAGTTCATTAGTCAGCCATTTTGGTCACCACCCTGCTTACTGCGCACAACCAATCCTATCGGCACTCGCTGCCCTGGCAAGAGAGCCGCCAGCAGCTCCCCGGGAGCAGATCTGGGGCTCCTGTGCTGCCTTCTGCCTTGGGTCTTGCTTGGGTAATCATCAGAGGAAGCCTTTTTTTTTTTTCCTTATTTTTTCCTTTTTTTTTTTTTTTCCCCGTTTCGTCTTATATTTTTTGTTCCTGCTCCGATGCAGAAGCCAGGTTTTCTGTGGTCAGCCGGGATCAATAGCCTTCAGTATAGCTGAAGACAGCGACAGCTGCTGAAAAGGAAGGAGGAAGAGGCAAGCGTGAAGGAGCAGCATTTTTGCCTTGCTTTCTATATGCAAAGGCTGGAGCAGTCTGTGCCATCCTGAGCACTTGTGCTCTTAATAGCAAGGTATTACTGATTTTCTCCTTCAGCGAGCCTTTCTTTTTAGTTCTTGTTTTTCTGTTGTTATTGTTGTACCAGCTGAGTCATCATGTCTGCTCTGACGCCTCAAAGCGACATGCCAACCCCCACCACAGACAAGATCACTCAGGCTGCCATGGAGACCATCTATCTTTGCAAATTCCGCGTGTCCATGGATGGAGAATGGCTCTGCTTGCGCGAGCTGGACGACATCTCGCTGACACCCGACCCAGAGCCTACCCACGAAGGTACGGTCACGTTCCCTGCCTCGGGGTCCCTGCAGCCGCCGCTTTGTTGTCACCGCAGCGCCGGTGCGGGAGGGGGTGTCTCCGGATGAGGTGCTCTCGTCCCGTCCGGACTATCGGGACACTGTGTGACACGTTACGAAAGCCAGACCGGTGCTTCCCATAGAATGTGCTGCAAGAGTCTTTAATGATCCACCCTTTTCAGAGGGGCGGATGTGTGCGTAGCTGAGGTTTCTGAGATGTGTAGTGGAGATCAGATTTGCATGTCACAGGAAGAAAACACCATGATGAGTGTTCGACGATGCATTTAATCACGAGATCGCTCTTAAGGTGCGGCTTATAACCGTATTGGTGAACAGTCAGCTTTTACACATGAAACATCCTGGCTGAGAACTGACTTGCATCGGCCTGTAGTCGATGGGTAGTTTTTGACAAGACTCCACTGCACTTAAGCCTAATGTCAGTGATAACACGAGTCTCGCAGCTCGCTTGTGCTGAATGTGCCATTGCTTATAGTGGCTTGGAAGCCTGAAACCCTTAGATGCAACGTATCTTTCTCTCTTTGAGTAATAATTTGAGGTCTGGGCGGATGGTGAAAACAGCTTACTCCTAGCAGACTAGCTGAAATGAGGATTGAAAGCTCAGTGAGTATTTAAACGAAAAACAAGCGGACATCCGCACGTTATCCTGCCATTGAGAAAGCAAGGGAAAGAGGAGGAGCAATGAATTCCTGCGGGAATTGTGCACGGTGGCGTGTGCTGCCCTGGTCTCTTAGCAGCAGTGTTGATGGAGACAGAGTGCCTCTTGCTGAACCCTGAGCAAGGCTCAGCCTTGCTGGGAGGGGATTCCACCTTTTCCCTGGGCCCTTTTCTGGTAACTACGTGAGCGTTGACTCCACCAAGCATTCTAGTTTGGAGGTAGCAGCCCTTTAGGGCTTACTTTAGGATTTACTTGTCCAAGGTCTAGCTGGACAAAGGGACATGAGAAAGAGGTTTGGAGGCTAGAACTGCCTCTGAAACATGTCCCAGGATTTGAGAGAGATGCTGCAGGCTCAGAACACAGGGCCAAAGCAGTTGGGGTGAGGTTAGCCAAAAGTGCAGTAATTCTTCTCGCTTCCTATTTCCATGCCTTTGTGTGTGTGTGTTTGTGCATGCGTGTGGTGTATGCTTGCTCAGCCTCGCTTTTCTTTTTTTAATTTGATCTTTTTCACTTTGTACAGTAGATACCAAAGTATGCAGCATGATGCTTCTGTCTCATAAAGACTTCAGTTAGCCTTTTGGTTTTTTATCTGGTTTTATTACAGTTAGTAAATAAGCATTTAATCTTTTCTTAGTACAGTCCAGAATACCACGTGTTTGCAGCTTGCGAGTTACCTAGCTCGATGTTTCATTGCACATGTCTTTTAATTCTGTTTACCTTCTCCCCTTGAACAAATTCATAGGGGAAAGTGGGCATGGATAAATGCAGTTTCTGCAGTAACAGAGCTTTCTCAGATTGCTTTTTTTTTTCACTATATTGAAATTGTGTCCCATTTGTGTACTACAGTGCACAGGCTGCAGTCTGTGCCTCCCTGGAAACAATTCAAGACCTAATATTAGGGCAACTCTCCCCAAAACTATCAATATGTATGTCAAAAATGATTTAAAATCGGTGGTCTTCATGGAGATATTTATACCTTGATAGCTTAAGGAGGCTGCTTGCTGGGAGGGAGGAGGACAGTTTCTTTTTTGGACTCGAGTGGTGTTTATAACAGAGGCGATAGTGCAGGAAATAGTGGGAATGCTGGCACAGCTTTAGCCATCGTGTTGGAAGTGTTACTGCAGCACCAGCATCGCTCCTCCCTCCTCAGGGCATGCAGGGCTTCAGGGGACAGCAGGATGGGTCTTGCAAATGCCCCGTGTTTGAGAGGACAAGCTGGAGATTGGGGGCTTTAGGGTCACTAGCTTCTAACATCTGTGTAAAAATGATGTGGGGAGGAAAAAAGAGTTTTGCCAAAGGCAAGTCAAAAGGCTCCCACTATTAGAAATTGGGAGCTGCGAAAAATAAAATGAGATTTTGCAGTTGCAAATCCAACAACCTTTGAAAATAAGGTCTGGAAACCTCCAGTGGCCGTCTCTCAGCTCTTGCTTCTTCCTGAGAGATGTGCTTGGAGGTTTTGCTGCAAGGGCTCCCCAAGCAGAGAGGCAGCAAGGGAGCTAGTAATTTAAGGAGAACTTGGACACGGTGGTAACTGCAGTTTTATCTACCGCAATTTAAAGCAGTAGGTACTTTAATGCAGTGGTGGTGAGCTCTAGTAAAGCTTAGGCCAGTTGTAAAACTGCTTAATCCAAAGGCTCCATACTTGGAGAAGGACTAGGATCTCGGATGTAGCAGTGTCAGCGATTTGGAGTAATTTGGTTCTGTGCTATCTAGTTAGATTTTCTTGGGATAGGAGCATAATATAGGGGTTTTGTGAAGCCTTGTGATTGTGTTTTCTGTTGCTCCTTCAAGAGTACATAGGCATATATGGAATTAAACATGAACCTTTCATAATCTAGGAAGTGTGAAATGGTCTTCAGTGGTTTTACAGGATAATAAATAAGCATTCTTAGGAGCAGCTTTATATCAACAAGCTCATTAAATTGGTTTGTGTGTGAGAGCATAAGCACTGCTTATGATAACTGTATCATCTGAACTTGCACTGTCAGGAATTATTCCATCACTTTTTAAGATACTTGGGTATTTACACTGAAAGGTGAGATGAAGTTTCAATGAGGGAGCTACAGAGTCGCTGAGCTGCATCTGAATTGGGTGCCATGAAGGCCTGTGTGCCTTGTTGGGCTGTGCTAGAGCGGGGAATGCACTTCTGTTAATTCCTGTGCCCTGGTCAGTGTGCACTGGGACTGCGAAGAGCAAAATGACCCGAGGAAGGAACCAAGATAAACCATTATTTTGATTTAGATGTTCTCTAGTAGCGTGGAATGGAGAAAGCAAGCTGTCTAGGAGAGCTGAACGTGCTTCAGAAGTTATGGTTTCAGGTTGCAAGACAAATCCAAGCAGTGTATTGGAATAGCAGGAACCTTTAGCGTCTTGACAGAAACAAGATGCAGCCTTGCAGGCAGCATCTCTTCCCTTATAAAGGTCTCTTGTAAAACATGTGTGGTGGCAGAAATCCCTAAATAGGTCAAAAGTTGGAAGGAGCTGGAAGAAGCATGCGGATTGCCAGGTCGGCCATCTGTGAAGTCAGTAATAAGCCAAATGCGTGAAATTCAGTGTTGTAATGATCTTAATGCTCTTGACTAGTAGTTAGGTCCCATAGTGCAGATAACATATGCTGAAAGGTAACATGATCAAGGCTGTGATCCCTGCGAGAGGGAGTAGGAGAGGTCCTTGTTTATACCAAATTGCATCATGAGCCCATAAAGGGCTCAAGAAGGATCAAGGACAGACAAAAGATGGATATTTGACCCTGGACCGAAGTGGGGGGAAGATTAATTTTTTTTTTTTAAGAAATGCCTCGGGATGGATGAGTGCTAAGCTGGGAGTTCTCAAGTTAATTTTTAGCAGTCAAGAGAGGGTACCCTGTAGAAGAGGGGCCCTGGTGTCCAGCCCTGCGGCTTTTGTGGCCGAGATAGAGTCCTTACAGATGTCTAGGATGAGACTGTTGTAAGTATTATTGTAATTGGGTTCTCTACTATTAATTTTTAAGTGTTGTCTGCGTCTGTGGTTTGCATTCAGAAAATAACTATTGAGATGTTTTCTTTCTTCTTCGCACCTTTTCAAGTGGAACTAAAGATTCGGGATTAAAACCAAGACAATTATTGTGCCATGAATACGTACTTAGTGTACGTTTCCTAATGACCTAATCCTTTGGTGCCGCGGTCGCACGAGGATTAACATGCAGGTCAAACTGAAACACAAGCCGGCTGTGCTGTCCTGGAGGCAGAGCAGGCAGCGCTGCAGGGCTGCGCGCTGGGAAAGGAGAACGGAGGCGGTGCAGGATGGCACTGCGGGGACTGCGTGCCCGTGTAGCACCGCGAGGGGAAATGCAGAAAATGAGAGGTTATCTGTGAGGAGCAGCCTGCGCCAAGGTCAGCACCAGCAGCACAAACCCGCCTGCGCCTGGCCGGCGCGCGTGCTGATGCAGCAGGACTTGCCTGGGGAATGTGCTCGCCACGCGTTTTCAGGGGCTGTTCCTCCGTTAACACTTTGTGATCCAGCTTATTCAAAAATCAAATATGGAAAGTACAAACAAAAGAAAACAAAAAAACTCATTGCGCACCTCCAATAATACTAACCGCTTCTCCTTATTTCTTTACCAGTTTAATGATTCCTTATAGCATGAAGTATTTATCATTGCTGAGGCAATAAATATAAGATTATGTAATTTAAATAACTATAATGATGTGATTGTAGGTTTTCTTTCATGACAAAAGTGTTGTTTGTCCTTACAGTGGAACAGAATATGGTGTGGGTTGTTTTTTTTTTATTAAAAAAGACAATTTGTTATGTTTATTCGGTTCTTCTCAGTAACTCTTCTGGCTTGCCCTTATATTGTGGGATGCCGTGGCTCCAAAACAACAGCAAATGCTTATGCAGGGGACTAAAAGTTAAAACCAGAATATAATACTATAATTAACTTAATAACGAGCACACGTCAGCATTGTTTTATTAGCATCTCCCTGTAAAACATGGATGATACCTACCTTCTTTCAGGCATAATGGGCCATAACTGACAGTGAAACTAAATTGTGGCTATACTTCTGGGCTTTATAGAAGTGCATATGCTGGTTTTAGTGCCTTTGAGTCATCTATGAAATGCTGGTTGAGTTATGGCACTTGGGTCTGTTAGTGAGGCACTGAGCAGAGGCCTTCTCTGGCTTCCTTAGGAAGAAAAAGGAAGAGCCTGGAGGGCTTTGAATAGTTGGGGTTTAGATTAATGAAATGTTTGTATCTTTTGCAAGAGAGATCGGGAAGGAGCCACCCTTGTGTTGCTTAGGACTTTTGTGTGTGGCTTGATTAAATAGATTTCACTGTCGTCTTGGTTCAGATAGATATTGTTTATCTCTGACAAACTTCTCAGCACTTCCGTAGGTCTTGGTTCAAATCACCAGGCAGGAGAAAGAGGGGAGTTTATAGAAGTGCACGAATGTAGCCTGAATGCAGGCCAGTTTGGTTTCCTGCAACTGGCTTTTTGCTGTGTCGGATGTATTCAGTCCATATCTCAACCATGGCAGGGCATGAGCTTAAAAACAACTGCTTTCCCTTTTTTCATAGGTAGAATCTTGGATGGAGCCTGGGAACTCAGAGCTTGGTGTGTTCTTTCTTTGCTTGTGAATATTTAGGGCAGTTAGATTTTTTTTTTTGTGAACATTGATCTAAAAATAAGTAGATTTGGGACAAGCCTTTTGGAGCGGTTGGACAAACATCGCTCACATGTCACTGCTGCTGGGCATTTTCTGTATTGGGTTCTGCTTTTGCTTCCCCAAACTGTTGCAGGGGTTTTTTGAGTACTTCACGGACTTCTCAGATTTTTAACTTACTGGAAACTTAGACACTTAAAAACAAACAAACAAACAAAAAAACCATTCTGACCTATCTAATCTACCTTGGGAGAAACTTGGTTCTGATGTTATACGCGGCAACTTGACATATTTATCTGAATTGCCTGCTTTCTTGTGTGCACTTTTCTTTACATACAAATAAATCCCACAGCAGTGTAAGACTTTTTGATGTTCTGTTTTAGTACTTCCCCTTGCAAGGTACTTCATTAAGTAAAGAGGTCATGGACAGCCAACGGATGGGTTAGGGAGTCACTTGTGTGTAAGGGAACGTGGTTCAGCCACTAGACCTTGTGCAATTTGTGATAGTTTATGGGCATCCCAGTATAGGCTGAGATGATGTGTTTGAGGTGCTAATTTTCACTATATGTTATTTCTTAATATGTTCTACATAGGCAGTTTGAAGGAATTCATAGTTTTTCTGTAGCTCAGACGTCTAAGAACTCGATCAGCCTTTATTCAAGGGATGCATTTAGTGCTTGTTTAAGTTTAAACTGTTTGCTTTTAGTTTCAGATATGTCTGGGATATTTCTGCTGTGTGTTCAGCAACTCTTGCTTTGGTTTCCTCTTATGAGATGCCAGTTAATCCCCATCACATGAATCCAATGTTGTTTTTAGCATGGTTGTGCACCCAGTGTCAGAGACCAAACTGAGATACGAGGAAACTAAGGAAGATAAGTTTAGAAAGTAAGGTTTTTTTTCCAATGTGTATGTAATAGTTCACCATTCATTAATCACTACTACTAAAGGATAAAATCTCCGGAGGAAACCCTATTTAACGCTTTTTGTAAGTGTGTGGGTTTTTATGTTTTATTTTCTTTTATTTTTTTCTCCTGAATATGTTTCTGAACTTGCACTAACACAGTGGAGTGAGCGTACAAAGATTGCAAAAGGTTTCTTGCCCCGGTGTGAAATTCAGTAAATGAACTTCGGCTGAATCCCACACGGCTCCTGGGCCATCACCTATATTTAAACCTCTTGAAATTATTCTGCTGCTACGTCAAGAAAGAAAAAAAAATTACTTAAATGGATGAAATGGATGGAACTTTGCGGATTTGTACGTTAGTGGTTGAAGTACTTCAGTCCCTTTATAAAGAGTATACTTGATAGATTTACTTTAGTGTGATGTTAAATTTTATGCTACTAATGTTCTTGAGAATCCAGTTGGAATGGGGCAATTGAGTTTTATGAGATGTTGATTATCCTGTTTTCTAAACTCTGTGTGAGTTAGTTGAAGGAGCTCAGATTTTTGCATAATGATTCTAAGTGCTGGCTTTGCCTTACAGGTATCATGATGAAGGGTATGGAAACTTTCAAGTCCTAATTTTACTTCCTTTTTCATTTTGAGAGATTTCCCCATGCACTCCTGGTAGGTGGAAATCCCAGACAGCAGGGAAAAATGACTCTACAGTGTAAAAGAGGAAATTAAACATATGCAAACTCTTGGAAGTAGCAAGACTTGAATGGAAAGTTTAAAGAATTTTGTTCAAAAAAATAATATCTTTGTATAAAAAGATTTGAGGATGAATAAAGTCTGGTGAGTTGTCTGGATGTTTCTTGGGGCTCTATATGGCCCGCTTGCCAAGGGTCGGAAGCAAGAGTGTCTCTGCTCACTGCCAGCTCCCTTTGCTCCCATGGGGGAGGAGGCTGGCCATGGTTTTCCTGTGGGTGGGAGGAGGTCCCCATAGCATGTGTACTTTGCTCTGTACTTTGCCACACGTGGCTGTAAAGGGGAATAGAGCCCTTGCTGTGTTACAGATACGGAGGGAATTGCTCTGGGGAGAGCAGGCACGTAAGTAGGGAGCCGAAAATCATGCAGGATTCAGACTCTCAGGAGCTTCGTCAGGCCTTGTTCCTTGGTTTCAAACTCAAGGAATTGCTGGGTGTGCTGAAAGGAGCTTTCTCTGTGCTGTCTGCCCTTCTCCCAGGATATCTGCCTCCTCCTTTTTGCCTGCCAGCCCTCAGCAGGCTCCCAGCAGGTAGGAAGAGCCGTTTTCCTTAGCTAGGTCTTAGTCAGCTGCCGTTGGGATGAGGACCTAGGTCCTGTGATTCCCATCCACGCTAAACTGAATCACTCTTCCTAGATGTTTGGCTTGGAAATGATGGTCTGGATGGAATTGGAGCTCTGTTTAACCTCGTTTATGTCGTTTATGTGTCTTTGTGTGTGTGCAACATGCTGTGCTTGAAGGGCTTGCTTTTCACTGATCAATGTATTTCCTTGTTACTTTCGGATTTGTTCAGGAGTAGGAGGAAGCAGAAGTAAAAGCTGATGTTGTCTAAGTACCAACCGTTTAGTGCCTTTATATTACAGACTAAATAATGCATTTCTCTTCTTAGGATATGCTTTACAAAATTTTTGCTTGTCTTAATGCCGAAAACCCAACAACTTCTTAAATTTTCCTTAGGCCTGCCTTAATTTGTTTCTCAAGGGGGAGGGAAAGAAAAAGCTTTGCTCTATTGCTTTGTGCAGACTAATTAACCCTTTTGACATGCAAATCTCTTGCCAGTGCCAATTGTGTCTTGTATTGTGCAAATCCCCCTTGAGTTTGAGCCTGCCCTCTCCCCCCTTGAGTTTGAGCCTGCCCTTTCGATCACGGCTTGCATGACCTTTTCTTTCTTTTCCCTTTCTTTTCGCTGGTTGCAAAGACTCTTGGGAGGATTTGACAGATGTGGTGGAGCAATTGCGTGATGATACTGAAGGTGCGTGCCACGCCAACGTCTTTCAACTGCTGTTTCCACTAATGACTGGCTTGTGACTTTTCATTTGGAGTGTGAGTGCAAGATACAGTCTTAGCTGCGCCAAGAGCTGTGGCTTTGTGAACGTGCTTGTCTGGTTGAACCGGGCTCGCGGCCCGGACGTGCTGTACCAGTTGCACTCGTGTGTGGATATTTGTCTTCTGCTGTTAGCATGTTCAACAAAATGTCTTGGATCACTCAAGTGTGTGTATTCCTTCTGCAACTTCATTTCCTTTTAGAGTGAATAATGTGAAGGCTTTTGTGTTGCAAAGTTTTATCCCATTGATCATGGGCTCCATCTGATCAGCCTTGATTTCTAAGTTCTTACTCCTTCATTTGGAAATGTGTGGGTGTTCACAGACCATCTTGTTTAACGGATCGTGCGATGATTTACTGAGCAGATCAACTTAGTTGGGATAGTGAAAGGTAAAAAATAGGGAACTAATTTGTTTACGTTAAACACATTGAGAATGTTATTTTCCTGATCTTAATTTATACACAAAATGCGCAAATGTATGCTAAATTTGAAGTAGCAGATAAGAAAGATTCCCTCAAAGCTTGGGATGTCCTGAAGTTTTTCTGTTGGTTGAGATGATACCTTGCAAAAGTGACTGTAAAACTTCAATTGCAAATTTTGTAGAATATCAAAGGAAGAATCTTGTAGAATGCTTCTTATTTGATTCTTTAAAATGGTAAGCAAGTACATGTATATTCAGCTCTCATTGGAGGAAGTTTATAATTTGATGCAATTGCTCATACTCATGGTAATTAGGTTTTATAGCAAAAAAAAAATATATCTATATATATTTTGGAGACAAGAGAGGGATCACCCTGCGCGTGCAGGAGGTTTGGACTAGATGACCTCTGAGGTCCCTTGCAATCTAAAGCATTCGATGATTCTACGATCACAGGAATAATACGTTACCTAGGAGGTTTTATATAAGACACATCATTTCAAAACTGGGATGTCAAGTTAGAAGCTAAAGCTGGAGCAATCGGTATGTAGTAGACTTGAGAGCACAGGCTTGTTATTGACGCAGCCAGATTGCTGACCTGGAAGGAATAAGGAGGGCTGATGGATTGCAGCTATTGGCCACTTTGTGGAATGAAAATTTTGGGAGGCAGTATTCATTGCAGGTTCCTTACCTGCTTGCCTGCGTCTTGGTGGTTTTGGGTCTGAATCTCATTGGTAGGATGTTAATCAAATCCTGCATTTACTTCTCTGCAGTGCACGTGAGCTATCCCAATGTAAAGCTTAGGAAAATAACTGGGTAAAAATAAGGGAAGCATGTTCGTTTTGTGAACTCAAGATTATAAGTAGAAGATAAAGTGTGAGCCCCAGTGTGAACAAAAAAAATTACTTTAAATATGTATTTTAATACATATTTTACTTAAATATATGATAATAAAATATCGCTACAGGACTAATAACTGTAAAACAGGCGAAATAACACAGCTAGCTACAGGGCTGATTTAAAGTCCCCTCATGTGAAGAGGTGTAAACAAAATTGGCCATGACACTGTAAAATCTACTTTTTATATTTGCACGTTCAGATAGTGAGCCTCTTTCTAGTGGATCTGTTGTGCATGAAAATCAGTTTTCATGTGTAAACTATTTTTCTTTTCATGCTTATCTTGAAGAGAGCTTCTATATATGATGCACAAAATATGTGTTGCCTCCTTGTTGAAGATAGTCCGGGGCCTGTGATAATAGGAAGAAGATGAGAGTTTGAATGCAAGGCAATATCAGAAAAGCTTCAGGTGAAATATGGAAAGTGAAGATAGGCAAGGGCATTAGCCTCCTGGTTGTTTCTTGGTGCAGCATTAAATTAACCTTAGTTTGCTTTAGCCTTTATATCCATCGTAAATAAAAGCAGAGGAGCTTTCTCTCCTTCTACGTGGTCCAATGCCTCAGGGCTGAGGCTAAGGAAAAGACAATACGAATAAAGAAGGTGCTCAGGAGCTTGGATTCTTGATTTAAGATAGATGCTTTTTAGGGAGACCCTCACTCAAGTATAAACCAGCTGGCATTACTTTGAGCAGGTAGGCCCACAGTGTTGGATTCACTTTCTCGTTGGATTTCTCCTTAGTTTCTCCAAGCAAATCTCATGTGAAGAGAGGAGGAAGTTATCCTTGTTAGACAAGAAGTACTCCGAGCACAGTCACAGCTTGATCTTCGAAGATCTAGTAGCATATTGACTTTCCCTTGGCTTTTGGGTTCTTTGAGATGCACATTCTCTTCAAATGTTGCAGATTCATGAGATTATCAAGTGTTTTGGAAATGTTTTCTTCTTTATGAAGTTTCTCAGCAATGCATTGCCCTTGCTACCATCAGTGTCTGCGAGACTAGGGCAGCATTTTAAATGTGTGAAAAGCTGGAACCTTTTGTTTTAAAGAAACAATAAAATTGGTCCATTCTTTTGTATCAGTTTAGTGGGACGCAAGTCAAATTTGCTCATTCCGCTTGGTATCCGATGTTAATTGTAAGTGTTGCTGGTTAGAGGAAAAAAAAATCCGTAGAAGCTTCAGTTTTTAGAAAATGAAATCATCTTGGTACCTACTTTAGGTGACTTAAATGTGAATCCCAAAGATATTGCAAGGCAAAGTTGAAGGGCCAACGTTTTTCTCTTTAAGTTTACTGCATGGCTCTGTACAGTAAAGTACAGAGCTGTTCTGCACTAGAGGGCTGCAGAATATATCGCCTCAAGCTGAGAATCTGAATTTCACGTCACGGTCAGATAATCAAGGCAGAAATGGCTGGCTTGACTTAAAGCAAGCTGAACGGTCTTCCTGTGTGGAAATCATCTCTACTTGCCTGGCCTGCTCTTTAAAAATGAAGATTGAAGATGTATATGTTGTTGCACATGTAACAAGGGTATAGACTGCTTAGAATTTTGCTTTTTGGAATACATCTTTGTCATTTTATCCAGTTTCTTACTATATAACAGCTACTGGATTTGTACGAGATGAATGTTAAAGAGGAATTGCATGTATAGAGAATGTCTTCGTTCACAGCAAGAGGCAGAAACATCTAACGAGGTACCTGAATTAACATATTGTTCAGTGACTTAGTGATTCCTTTTTTCTTTTTTTTTAAGCTTTTTAAGGCCATGACTGCACATCTTAGTCTTAAATGAGTGCATAGCCCTACTTTATTTCTTCCCCGACGCCATCTGCTTTCATCAGCTCAGAGTTGTTCGTTTGCTCTTTCTTACCCATTAGAAGCGTTGAAACCATCTTTGGCTATCGTGGGGGCTTGATATGGGTATCTGTTGCTCCAAGGAGTTCCTTTTAATTAATGCAATGCTGATCCCAGTTAGCACGCGACTGCTTGACATCTCTAACTGCTGGGAAACTATGCTGCTTGCCTCAAAAAGCATTTCCTATCATTGAGCTCAGTGTGGGCCTGCTAATGGCAGCAGCTTTGCCTGCTCTAAGGAAACCATGTGGTTTCCTGCAGTTAGGTAATGGACTAAGACCCTAATTTTGAGTGCCCTCCTTGGTCTTACTGTAATTCAGATTAGTTAGTAATTGTAGCCCAAGCATCGTTGCCCTCCTAGAGCTCTTGTACAATTTCTTTAATGTTTCTGTAGCAATTCATTTGTCACTTAAGTAGGATTCCTTTGGACAACTGCCTTGCAACTCCTCGCCAGTTTGATGAGTGCAGGTGTATAAGAGAGCTGCACTCTGCTAAGCCTTAGTTACTTAGGGAAATGCTGCTGACAGAACCTGGCCAGTGTGGGAAAAAGTCTCTGACTTACGGAAGGCAGAGCAAGCCCTGCTGCAGGCCTGAATCTGGGAGAAGGGCTTTCTCCCTAATCCTGTCGTGATGTTTGCACTCTCCTCAAGCAACTCTGAGATGCAGTCGAAATTACTGTTCGTTGCCGTTAACCAGAAGGACACGGGAGAAAATATTCAGTAGTAGTCAGTTTCTTTTAATTGCATGCCCAAGAACTGTGTTTTAGCATTCTGTGTTTTGTCTCTCTTTGCTCTACTCTTGAATTACTACTGACAGTGTTTATTTCCTTAGCAAAGCATGAAATGGATTGCAAAGCACAAAATCTGTCATCTGCTTAATATACGTGTCATCCTACAGTTTATAAGGTAGTAGTTCTATAATGGCAACAGAGCACCCACTCAAATGAAATATTTCCATAGTCCAGATCTGCTGCGAGAATTGCGTTCCTAAGCCAGGGTTTGGAAGCCGTGTTAACTAAGAAAAGAAATTGCAAATCCTACAGTTGCGGTCTTTTCAGAAGATGTGAACAACAACCTTCTCCTCTTCTACTTCAAAGGTTCATGTTTAGTCAGATAAAATTCAGAGTCCTTTTGATCACTTGGTCCCTCAGTAGAGAATGAATGGGTGGAGATGCAGAACAGCTGGGCCTGTTTGAGACTTCTTTGAAGAAGCTGCTTTTCCACTGCAGCAGATGTGGCCAGAAGTGTGGTTAGACCAGAGACTGCTGATAGTCACTGTGTGTGACAGATCCATGTGGTATTGCTTAGCACCTCCTGCCTGCTTCCCGTCCCCATCGGAGACCTGCCCTTGCAGAGCCTGCTGATCACGGTACCGACTGCTCCATACAGCAGTTGTCAAGATGCTTCCAGGGAGATGCAGGGAAGGAGACTTCTGGTACTGCTTCATTGTGGAGCAGAAGGGGGAGAACAGAGGCTTTGTCCCAACCTATTGAGGAGACTATTGAGGAGACTCAACAAATGCTCCCATAGTATCAGGATCTGAATGGCGACGGCAGCTTTGACCAGCCGCTCTCCCTTGGACTATCAACTGTTTGACAGCTGATAGCCTCATGAGGGGTCCTTGGGTGGTGCTTGCACTGTTGCAGTAGAGCAAATTATGAGGATTTCTCTGGGCGGTCAGCCTGTATTCTGGCAGACAGCTCTTACTGTGTATGATACAGGCATACAAAACTGAGCATTTTGATAGTCTGAGCAAAAGACTCGAGGAGACCACCTTGCATCAAAGGGTTGCCTCTGTTATGAATACCCTCCGAGCTGAGGGACAACAGAGAGAGACAGATGTGGGGTATTTTACTGTGCTAAAATAGCTTTTGTTATTTAAAAGTATCTTTCTTCTGTCTTTTATAGATCCTAACTATCTCATGGCGAATGAACGCATGAACCTGATGAACATGGCGAAACTGAGTATAAAGGGTTTGATTGAATCGGCTCTTAATCTAGGCAGGACTCTGGACTCCGACTATGCACCTCTTCAGCAGTTCTTCGTTGTGATGGAGCATTGCCTTAAGCATGGCTTGAAAGGTAAGGTTGTTCAAGGGGAGTCCTCCTCGGAAGGTTGTGGTAGTGTAGGTGTGAGAAAGATCCATCTTGCTTCAAACACCTGATTCTTTTAATTTAGAGTAGGCTAACGAATGGCTGAACAGGATCGCAGCATTTGTTGACAGCTGGTTTATTGGAATGCAGAATCTGAAAAATCTGCCTGAAGTGAAATGATACTGGTGAAATCTTGATAGTTGTTGCAGTGACTCATCGTTTTTAAAACAACTTTTCAAATGTGTTGAGTATAAGTTTGGTGATGAAAACAGCCTCTTAACGAATACATCTGCCTTTTTTTTGCACTTTCTGCAGAGAAGTGCAACGCTGAGACCCTGTATCCATAGCTGAGTACATATTTAGCTGTTTAATAGGGGTCACAATAAAAATGAAGTACTGCTCTACTTTTCTTGACTTGCTGCCCTTAAATGATTGATGCTTGAGATGAGATTATTAAATTCTTTCATCATTCTTAGGTATATTTGTGGTGGTGCTTCAGTAGCTCAGTTCAGCGTTGGCTGGTGAAGAAGGGATTCATGTGACAGTTTAGGTAACGTTATGTAAGGGAGCAGTATAAATCATCTTAGTGCTGCTGTTGTGCACCATTCACCAGTGTCCCCAGGGCAGGTCACAAGTTTCAGCTTAATGATTTTCGGTATTCTTAGTGCTGCTGCTAAGTAGCACGAAAATTGTTAAAGAAACTAGTGCATTTCTAGCTTTAGTTTCTGGGAGTCTCTCGAAAGCTTTTCTGAGAGAGGAGAGGATGAACAAACAAGACCTGGAACAAACAGAGAAGAACATTAAAGGTGCTGTGTTTATTTTTTGAGGAAGATGATGGTCAGTGAGGGACAAGGAAGGTGAACACAGCAAGTATGGCTCGGAGACAGCGGCAGCATCCTAGTAGAAGTTTTTCCCAGTGGTAGTGAATTCAGGTTGCTCTTTATGACTGGATGTTGTTGTTTTGCCATGTTTGGGATATAAAAAAATACTGCCTGCTGTCTATTTTGAGCTTCTTACCTTACTTGGATGACAACTGTAATTCCCACATTTGGCTGTGTAAGTGGTCTATTGTATTTGCCCAGCAGGCAGTCCCAGAAGACTCCAGTGATTGTTTTTCTATTGTTGTTTTAATTCTGAATGTGTTTGAGAAAACATTTAGCTAGTACAATTGAACGGAGTCACTTCATGTCTTGTCTTTTTCTTTTTCCCCAGCCAAAAAGACTTTTCTAGGGCAAAATAAGTCATTCTGGGGACCACTGGAACTGGTAGAAAAACTTGTTCCTGAAGCTGCAGAGATCACAGCAAGTGTGAAGGATCTCCCAGGCCTGAAGTGAGTATGGCCTTATACTGCACAAGGACATAGTATGGTTTTCTAGCAAGAAAGATCATAAAGAGAAGGAAGGAAAATCAGTCTTCAGGAACTGATCTGCCATCTTCTGCTGATACAAGTGGCTTATACTCTTAATTAAGAAACTGCAGGAGGAAAGGAAGGCACTATTTATTTATTATTAAGGAAGGGACTTAAGGACATTAGAAAGGTTATTGCCAGCACTGAGTGATGATGTACCCTATGAACAGGAACAGCCTTTATGAACTCCTTCTTAAAATTCAGATGGAAGAGAAGGTTCAAGCTGGATGCTTTCGAGTCTTATTTTTGAACATTAGAAATCCAGAGTCCACTTGATTTTTAAATTAAAATATTCAAAAGATGAACTTTTGAATATGAGCAGGAATCGGTCATGAAGTTCAAGAAGATAATAGGTTATGTTAAAGAGGGATGAAAAAGAAGTCTTTGGAAATGCATTGCTTTTAAGAATCACTTAGTCACCTCAGACATGGCATTCAGGTTTGCTTGTTCAAGTTCTAAAAAGAAACTGAGTGAAGAATGGAAACTGGGGAGAGGAAAAAGAGAAGCTTAAGGGGAATTCTGTATGCAAAGCAAGCTTAACATGAATTTGGCATTGCTGAAAGATGAGATGCATCCATGAAACAACAGAAATCAAGCAGAGAAGATTACTGTCAGTTTAGTTTTTAACCATGTACAAATGGACAATTGCTTTTACTGAAGGGCTGTGCAGGACTGTGCTTCAAACCACTTGAAGGACCAAAACTCCTTTTATCTTACTTTTAAAAAAATATGTAGGAATAATGTGTGGGTGTTTTTTTTTTTTTTTTTTTTTTAAGAGGCAGTTGTAGAAACTTAGTCTTTAAAACTGAGCTTTGTATGTAATGTGTTCTTATCAGCTGTTTGGGAATTAAGTGTTATGCATTACTGAGGTGAAAAACTTACCTGGTAATGATGATTGTGACTTCTATGGGCAATAGTTGCTTATTCTAATTAAGGTCAGAAAAAAATGGAGTTTTCCACATGGTACTTGGGGTAAGACAGGTGACCAACTGCATGAAGTTGTAGAAAAGAAATTCCCTTTTAATTGTAGTATTGCTCTACATGGGGGATTTGCACCTTCCGATTAACAAGAGAAATGGAGGGAGAAGGCTGTGACTGACCTGCTATTTGCTGCAAGTGTGTTGGGGCAAAATACTTGGAGAACACTATTTAGTTGGTGTTTTCAGATGTCTCTGTGTATTCTCAGCAGGCTTAGCATCCACTGAAGCAGTGCTGCTTGGGCATCTGTGCTGTGTTGAGGTTTACATGTATTCTTCTGCTGTGTCCTTAGGCAAAACTGAATTTGAATTGGAAGGTAGTTTATCCAAACAATTGATCTCTGTCTATATAGTAGCATCCAACCACGGTAGAGTGAGGGAAATGTTAGAATAACAACAAATGCATAATTAGTTGAGAGATATGAAATGATGGCTTAAGTAAACCTGTTAGTAACTGTTTGCACTTCAATATCCTATACCTTCCCGTTTTCATTAAGGAAGACTATTTTTGAGATGAGGTAGACTGCAGAAATTTCAACTAGAGCAGGATTTTTCAAGGGGTTTGTGAATGGGACCCTGCAGTAGGTAACTCTCATTTCTGGTCTTTGCAGGACACCTGTGGGTAGAGGAAGAGCTTGGCTTCGTTTGGCTCTCATGCAGAAGAAACTCTCAGAATACATGAAAGCCTTGATTAACAGAAAGGATCTTCTCAGGTGAGCATTGCTGTCTCTAAGATAGGCCTGGTTTAAGTTGGGCACGCTTGTATGATTTTAAAGATCCTTTGTGCGTACTTGCTTTTTGAGTGGCAGTGTTGTGAAATCTAGAACTTGCTCTGAGGGATGAGAAATGCTTAGGACTCTTGTCAGAAGCTCTCATTTCTCCGTTTGGTATCTATTACAATGAACATTTTAGTCACGTAGTGCAGAGAGAATGCACTATTTTTGGAAAGATCTTGGGCGTAGTTTTGTTTCTTACCTCCACCTTTACCCACTCTGACGTGGGTAAGGTCATTTGACTTCTCTGCCTCTCTGCTGTGTTTATAAAACAACATTAAATTTTTAGATTAGTTGGAACTCGATGGATAAGAATTGCTATCTGTGCAGAGTGGTGATATTTAGCAAACGTGGATGTGAAGTGAGGCAGGTAGGTTTTTGTTAGCTCTTTATACAGATCCATAGCTGACTTGAGGTGCAGAGGACTTTCTGTTGACCACTGGAAAATGTGGAGGTGGCTTATGGTAGAGAAGTTGGTACTAGCTAGTATCAACTAGTAAAAGTGTGCTTGGATCTCTTCTCAACAGTTGAGAATCCATTTCTCCTGCTTCTTTGCCTCATCTAAAGATACAGTGTACAAAGAGATACCTATTCCAGGCCCTTCAAATGGTGCAGGAGTACGTTGGTGGTACGCGGGAGTACGTGTGTATGTTGGTGGCGTCTGTGTGGCTTTTTATTAAGCATGAACTTGCATTATATGATTGTAGGAGATAACCTGCGAGTAATTATGTGCTGGTACTAATTTATCATAAGCTTTACTTCACTCTAGTTGATTTTTAAAAGATGCAACATTCTGTCTTCTTTTGGTGTGCATCCTGCAGTGAATTTTATGAGCCTAATGCACTCATGATGGAAGAAGAAGGTGCTATCATTGCTGGCCTCCTGGTAGGCCTGAATGTCATCGATGCCAACTTTTGCATGAAGGGCGAAGACCTGGATTCACAGGTACTGGGTATTCACTTTAGTGTTCTCTTTCTGCTCATTTAGATCGGGTTTCCACTGCAAAAGACTTCCCTCATGTCAAATCTCTTTATTGCTTGTAGCAGTATAAGAATAATAACTAAAGGTTGTTACTACAGTTGCATTAGTCAGATAGTAGACAGTGTTGAGATCAGAGGCTTAGGCTTTTGTTTTATAATGGCTCCTTTCAAATTAATTTTTGTTGGTAGAAAAAGCTTAGTCACGTAAGCTTGGTGTCTCTTCTGACTTGAGTGCTAGCCTGACGCTTTGCCTTGCTGATTTCTGTGGAGTAGTGATCTAGTTACCATTTGTACAAAGAGTGCTCTTGCCTCCGTGCTCTTAAATTTTAATTTCTTAATGTGCTACCCAAAAGCCCACTCTGCTGCTCTGCTTTGCTGTGGTCTGAATGCAAGTCCCTGTGTAGGGAAATGTGGAGTAGAAGAATGGACAGAAACAGGGGGGAGATGGGCAAAAATGTTAATTCACTCAGAGCATGTTATGAGATCATCTGTGAACCAAAAGAAAACAAGCCAGTTTGTGCTATTGTTTCAGCTTGCATGGGTTGTTTATATGTGGATGTGTGGATGCCCTGATTTTCCCCTTATCTCTTAAGACTTTCTTTCCAACGTAGTGTTTCTGCTAGAACACTTCAACTAGTCTGTTCTCTCATTTGTTCTGCAGAGATTACTGTTAGAATGAATCCTTATCATACTGAAACATGCACTGATGTTCTTAATGAATGGTCCAATATGTATATGGATACAGGGAGTGTTCAGTCTTAGGAAAAGTTTTTAATATAGAATTCCAAAACTTTCTCTTCTAGGTTGGAGTTATTGATTTTTCAATGTATTTGAAAGAAGGAAACAGCACAAAAGGCAACGAGGGGTAAGTGCAAGCCCAGCTGTTCTCCATCTCGCCTACGGTAACTTGTGTTCAAGTGTGCAAGTTGGTCTGTCAGCTGTTATGTTTTTCAGTCAGATGCTTCTTGTAGAGAGTTGCTCTTTGTTTTGTGAACTATAACATAAATAAAGTGCTGGAAGCATTGGGTTAGAAGGAAGTCTCCTACCAATTTTGGATATTGTTCTTCAAAAGGCTGACTGAAATTACATAGTTGACAAGTGACCCTCTGCTGAGTCAGGTCTGCTATTATTTAAAGTATTCTGAAAAAAAAATAGTTCAGTAGCCTTTAACAGTTTTGTGGTTAGTCAGGTAGGAGCTGATTATTCAGCATCTTAGAAATAATTTTTGTGGTCAGAAATTGCTATATTTGCAACCAAGGTCCGAATAAGAGCTTTTGTTCCAGGGTACTCCAATGTAGCTGTCTAATGCAACGAATGAGAAGTCAAAAAGTGCAGCTTGGGTTCACTGGCTCATGTAGTTTTATGGTTATCTGAGATTCTCTAAGAGTACTTGCTCCTTGGGAAGTTTTATTTTGCATGTAGGTATATTCTTTTACCATTATTCCTCAGGATCAGATATCTTGCAGTATTTTAATCTGTTGTTTTACTATTAGAAAGTGTGTTTCCTTAGCATGTCCTGTTGAGAATGCCAACAAGTGCATGTTGCAGGCAGGTTTTGCTGAGTGCATTTGGTATGAGTCATATTCAGTACAAAAGTGGCAATAAGATCAGCCTTTTTTCCCCCCACTGGATTGCTGTTGTGCTAATTGAAATGTTGCAGGCATTGCTGTGTCGCAAAACGCTTGAACATTTTTCAGATGAATGAAGTGATTGCAACTTCTCAGAAGTGAGAACTGTGGCTGACCATGAAGGCATAGGTTATTTTGCTATTTTTGCTGTATCGTGTCTATTGCACACACTCACCAAGACACAGTGTGCTCAGTGCTGAGCTGAGGATGTGGGCTGTACTGCCACAGTCCCCTTAAGCCTTTAACCATGTCCTTTAGTTCTTCTAATCCATGTAGTGAGGTTTGGGATGAGAGAGAACTTGTACTGTTTGCTCCTGCTCCCTGTGCCTGGATCCACATAAACACTCCGTGGCAGCCTGCCTGTGCCCAGCAGTGAGTGGGAAGCCAAGCCAGGAACCCGCATTGTTAGGGATAACCAGGATGGCCAGGATAGACACTGCATCCTTGGTAGAAGCCAGCTGGATGACTAGTGGTTGAGTGCTCTGTGCCATTTGATTGCTGGGTGGCAGAACAGACCTGCCATTCTGCACAACAGCCTTCAAAAATACCATGCAGTTAGGATCTGTTGATAGAAGAGAGCTGCACTGGGGGTGAGCTGAACGTTATTTCTGTTTTTTCTTTCTTCCCCCCCCCCCCCCCCCCCTTCCAGAGATGGTCAGATAACTGCTATTTTGGACCAGAAGAACTATGTAGAAGAACTCAATAGACACTTAAGGTAATATATATTTTTGTAAAAATATATTATTGTTATATAGGACAACATAATAGAAAGCAGACTTGAAAAAAGCAGGAGTTACTGTACCATCTTTTCTTCTTTAACAGTGCTACAGTTAACAACCTACAGGCAAAGGTGGATGCCTTAGAGAAATCCAACACTAAACTGACTGAGGAGGTAAGTGTAATAAAAAAAGGATCTCATATTTTGGCCTTTTGAAATCGAGGATTGGAAAGATACTTGAGGTTATTTTCCAGAACTGGGATATGCTTGATGATATATTTTTAAGAATGCAACTGGATTAACTGAACAGACAGGGAATTGTGTTGATCCTCACCACACGAGATGGAAAAACAGCAAACTTGTGATGGTAAAAAGCAAAAGCTCTTCAAGAGTGCTTTGCTCTCTGAAGTTTTTTCAGTGCTTTTCTTGTTTAATTTTTTTGGAAGAAGTTCTAGAAAGCATCGAACAGTATGTATGAATTCAGTTGCATATAGCACATGTAGATGACAAGACACTCGGACACCGCAAAGGTTTTTAACTTGTGGTTATTTTGGCTGATGCAGTAGTTGACTACAATGCTAAGGTATTAATTGATGTTAACTGTATTTCAAATGATAGAGAACTTAGTGGTGGAAGTTAGTGCACTACTTGGACTCTTAAGGAGTAAATACTGTACTTTGCAATTAAAAGGAGTATTGTTTGAATTCAAAAATGTGGTCTGCCTTTCCTGTGTCTCCATTCATGACTGATTATTAATGCTTAATATGCTTTATCAATTAGACCTGTGGGTTGAATTCCTGTATTTATTGGAGTATTGTTCATTTTAATAGTTTTGTTGCTTTTTACTAATTGCAGCCTGCATGCTATTGGAAGTAGTAACTGACCTGACACTGGAACACACTGTGCCTATCAGAGCTATGTGCAGCGTGTAGTTAATGAGTTATGTTACACATCACATCCACCTGTCTGTTAGGCACGAGCTGCTCCCAAGACTTAGTCTTGTCAGGATGCTTTGTAGTGAATCTGTCATTAAATAACTTTATTGGTCTCGTAAAATGTCAGTGAACCAGTGAATTCTTCCCCCGCCCCCGTTGCAAGTGGTATGTAGGTCATGGTAATGATTTACTCATCTCTTCCAGCTCCCTCTGCCTCCCCCCTAAAAAATCCAAATTATTTTGGCTTTTGACCTTACAATTCAAGTAGCCTGTTGGTTTGAAATGAGGTTCCAATCAGGAAATCCATTGAGGAACATGTCCTGCTTTGAGCAGGTGCTCTGTCATGTTTGCCCTCGGTTTCAAGCTAAAACTTCACTTTTATGATGTCCTGATAGTACTTCTGGTGCTGTCCTGTGCAGGTGCTTGAGCATCTTGTATCTCAGGTGCTCTGACTACTCATGTATCCAAACTAGCAGAGCTTTAGCAGACTCAGGCAAGTGGGTGGCTCTGTGGTGACTGGATCACTAATCATTTGGTCGTGCACCACACGTTGGTGGTTATATTTCCATTGCTCAAGTCGGTGAAAATGAGCTGCCGTGTTCCTCCTTTTCTCCATTTTAGGATTTTGGCAAAGGAGGAGGAATGAAGTGAGGATTTCTGTAGTTGTGTGCTAACCAGGTGTTAAACAGAATCCAGCAGGTAGTGACCTGAAGAACTTTAGTGACTTCACTGGAAGACATGAGCTGGAAAGCTGTGGTTTTGCCAGTAATGGAAACCCACCACCCTGGCACTAACTGTTTTACTTAAGATTGCCCCTCTCCAGAGAGAGGCAAAAGCAGAGGCCAAATTGTAGTTTACTGCTGTAAACAAACAACCAAACAGAAGCTCCCCTCGAATGTGGACAAAGAGTGCCTGATGAAAATCTGTTTAGAGAAGAAAAAAAGTATGTGAGGTAAATGGTTGCTGGTACAGAACTCTTGTTTTATTTTGTTCACAGCTTGCTGTTGCAAACAATAGAATTATTACACTGCAGGAGGAGATGGAACGGGTTAAAGAAGAAAGTTCTTACATCTTGGAGTCCAATCGTAAGGTTGGTGGCTGTAGGTTTCCTGAATCCACTGGGCAGATCCAGCTTAAATGGCATAGGGAGGAGCTGTTTCAGAGACACTTTTCCTTATGTATACACACAAAAGAGCAGTGGAAGAGACTCCCTCCAGGTGGGCCCTCCACAGAGGGCAGCAGATGGACCCTGGCCATGGTACATCCTGCTTGGCGGTAGCTTATTGAACTGTGAGCACATGCGAAGCTGATGGTTAACACAGCGTGTCTGTGGCTTGCTACGTGGAGACAAGAGGAAGATGATTTACCAGGAGGCTGGCAGGAAACTTAAGCAAGTGGGAGTTCTGTTAGTTTGACCTGAAATGCTACCCAATCTTAAATCAAGGAGTGGTATCTTAAAGTACTCAACGTGCTTTTCTTTACTTAAGACAAATGCTAGGAAGTCTGACGGAGTTGCATGTTAGTTTTAAAATCACAGGATGGTTTTACATATTTTATCATTGTACTTAGTACACTGTCCAGGGCCTGAAAGTGAGCAGGCAGTACTGTATGCAGTGAGTTGCTCTAAGCAATTGAGTTCAAGGGAAATACAGTAAGTTTGCAAAGGAGCTACATGATGCATTAACTCAATGAAGGTACCTAATTTTGGTAGCTGTCAAGTTTCTTTTCAAAGAAAAGAAAATGGTCAGAACATTACTAGGTACTGGATTACTCGTGTAAAATGATGGGTTGATTGGATTTCTTTAACTTAGGTCACCAAGGACAGAACTGCAGATGGACACGCACTTACTGAGGCACGAAAGCAATTAAAGGAGGAGACTCAATTGCGTCTGGTAAGGGCAGTGGGAGCTTGGTGCTCCACAAAAAGGCTTTTTAATGGGTAGCTATTCACTGTAATTCACTTCAGAAATGGTTCTTTTGGGGGAATATTTTCATTCCAGCCTGCCCTGCTTCAGCCTGATCTAGAGAGTCTATCAGAAGTGATGTTGGTGTTTTTTTTTTTTTTTTTTTTTTTTATGTGCCCGGCTTGACCAATTTGAAGTCTGTTTATCAAGAGGGGCAGTGCCTCTGAGTTTGTATGTCTTGGGCATCCCCCTTGAAGATAAGGTTGTTGACATGATCACAACTGTTTATTCAGTATAGCGTATGTTCAATTGAACGTAACATGCTGATTTGATGATGAGGCAAATGTTTGAACAGAATGTTTTTAGAAAGTTAGTCTGCAAACTTGACATTAGTCTGCCATGTCGGAACATGGGCCCCAATAGGACTTAGTTACTTTCTGCTAGTAATGCTGTTGACGTGGATTTAATGTTTGACCAAACTTATGAGTTAGTTTTCCTTAATTGCCTTTGATGTGTCTGAGCTGTAGCTGTAATGGAGGGTTAGGATAAGGGTTATGGATACTGGAAAAGGCTACTTGGAAGTTCTGACGGCTGTGTGTGTTTCAGGATGTGGAGAAAGAGCTGGAGGTGCAGATCGGGATGAGACAAGAGATGGAGTTGGCCATGAAGATGCTGGAGAAGGACGTTTGCGAGAAGCAGGATGCGCTGGTGGCGCTCAGACAGCAACTGGATGATCTCAGGGCCCTAAAACACGAACTGTCTTTTAAGCTGCAGGTAGGGAAAGAATTAAATCAAATGTAGTGAATCCTTAGTAATAAGTGTGGGCTCTCATGCTTGGTCTTTTCCTGTTTATTTAGCAGATGCTCGCTATGGAAGGATGACAGGCTAAGTCATTTCACTCTTGATGCTGTTTAATACTTTTTCCTAATCCACATAGGTTTTTTTCTACAGTGTACTCACTTGCTTTAGGGCTGACATTCTTAACCTCAAGTTAAATGGGATTTGAACAGGGAACTTTAGGGAGGATACACCATCTGTAATGGAGTCGTAGCCTTTTGGCTTGTGTTGTATGTCTAAAAACTAAGCAAAATGGAAAAAAAACTGAATACAGTCTAGTATTTTCATGTATGTGGTGGCATTACACATGTTGTTGTTCAAGTAACAGAAAGACTTGAGGAAGAATGTGTAATGAAGTAAATACTAAAGTCCAGAAGTAAGTACTAATATGAAATTTAGAACAGGGGAAAATTTCTACTTGCCTTGAGCCAGTCATTATGTGCAAAACAGTTGAGTAGTATTAGCAAGTACTGCATTAATACAAAGTATGTAAAAAGCTGAACTAATCAAAGTAATTCCCTTCTGTGGTGTCCAAATGTACTCTCTATTTGTAGGAAATAATGTTTTCTCATGCAGTTAGTGATCTAGTGTTTGCTTTTTGGTCCCCTTGTCATGTCCAGCTGGTTTTGGCCCATGTAATGCTACTTACTAAGTAGCTTATTGTGTTTGTGTGTAATTTGTTTTTACTGCTGTTTACAAAAGATGGGGTGCCGCTTTCTCTGCAGAGTTCAGACATGGGAGCAAAACAGAAGAGTGAATTAAACAGCCGCTTGGAAGAAAAAACAAATCAGATGGCTGCTACCATCAAACAGCTTGAACAAAGGTAAAAAATGAAATATATGCAGTTTAAAATGATGTGCCTGCTCTAGAGGTGCAGTGTGTGCTCTTTCTTTCAGACAACTATGTCCTTATTTGAAACTCTCTACCTCATTTTTACATGAAAATGACAAGTGGAGTGATATCCCTGAGGAAATTGTTAGTAGACGGGCTTTATTTAATTCAGCTTTTTGAGTCCAAGGAGTCTCCGAGTGAGACCTGTCCTGCTCTATTTGTCTGCTAGAGCTGCTGCTGACGTGAATGGCAGCAGAGCTAAACCCATTACAGGTGAGAGAGGGTGGCCAGCTTAGCCATCACCAGCAGAGCTATGCAGGGCGAGCAGGTTGGCTTTTCTGGCACCACTTTCATGACATGCTGTTTGAGACATAACCAGGTCTTTTATTAAAAAAAGAATATGATGTTAAAAGCGTAATTAGAGTAGAAGCTTTGGTATTCACATGATCTGCATCATTGTTATCCAGTCATTTACGAGTAGATTAGTGTCTCTGATAGCATTGATTAAAAACACAAAAATGAATATTCTTGTGTCATCTTCTTTTCCTCTACTTTTTTTTTTCTTTTCTCTGTTAAAGCCAAGCCTTATAGTTGTTTGGGATAAGATTAAGAACTTAATTCCCTTGAAAAAAGGACTGGAGTATTATCTCCGAGCAAAATCAGGTCTCAAATATATATACATATCTATATATATATTTTTTTGACTGAGATATATGTAATGAGTACTAAAATACATTTAATGAATTGATTAATTTTAGAAGTTGCATTCTGAGTGATTCCTTACCAAAGAGGTCACTTGTTTGTAGCAACGTTTGTTTTAAAACATGTTGTGGTACCACTTTAGCTAATTGATGTGCTCTTTTTCTCTTGCTGTTCCTGTTCTTTTATTTCCTCATCATCCTCATTCTAACTTACTCATACAGTGAAAAGGATTTGGTGAAACAGGCAAAAACCTTAAACAGTGCAGCAAACAAACTGATCCAGAAGCATCATTAGACATGTTTATGTCTGGTCGCCTCGTAGCTCTGACATCAGAACTCATTTATGAGGGGAGAACTTAAGAATTACTAAAAGCAACTGTTTAAATGTTAATTGTCTCCTAAGGTTGATTGGGAATTAGCTGAATTTTTAAAATCAGTGAGGTTTTCCTTCAGAGATTTAAGTTGGTTATAAAAATCCCTAACTTTGCCCTGTAAACTGTTACACTAGCAGTGAGCTGGCCAGCAAACACGTCAGGAAAAGCCTAAGGAATGGGAGCCATGTGGCTGTGTCCATCCTGGTTTGATGCTCCCTGCGTACAGCAGCACCAGTCTTCACCCTGTGCGGATACTCGCTGCGTTGCCCCAGCCCGTATCTGATGGCCAGCTCGGGAAAGTCCCCCCGTTTTCTGTGTTGCCCATTTTGTGAAGTAGCCGAGAAAATGCATCCCTGGAAGTGGTTGGAAGTAGTCGTGTGCGTAGCCCGAACCGTCACCTGTGGGCGTCCGTTCCGCGGGTCTGCCCCAAGCCCCAGAGGAGCGGGAGCCTCTCGGTAGCTCCTGGTGGGAAGAGCAGCCCTCTTGTAACCAAGACTGCTTGCAACAGTTCTGCCTTAGTGACTTGGTGGGAGGCTGGGAGCTTAGCCGTATTCCTTTGAACTTCATGTGTCCAAATGAGTAGTTAGGTGTCTTAGAGTAATAGGATAGAGTGGTAAGTTCAGTGAAAACCTCCTTATCTTTGCATTGCCTTCTACCTCTGCCATGAATCCCTCTAGAAATACGTTGCAGTTCTTCCTGAGAGAAGGGAGCTGAGGAGAGGTGTTTTGATAGGTCTTGCCTCTTCCTAGAAAGGGAAATTAATGCGTTTTACAAAAATCTTCTGATCTTTATACTCTAGTGTTAAAAAAAAAAAAAAAAAAAATTAAAAAAAAAGCAAGAAAATGTGCAGTGATGGGGAGCAGGACCAGTCATTTGATACTTGGCCATTCCTTGTCTGAGTAGTTAGTGGTTGAACAGGAGAGTTGCCTTTTGCTATGACACTAGTTACATTGGCTTCTGAGTTTCTGTAGCTTGGTACATATGGAATTTGCTAATGGAAGAACAGCTGAAGCTTGGGAACAGCCCTGAAAAGGGCAAACTGTTGTCAGCCCCCCAGTGCAAAACTCGAAATGATGGTAGCTTGAACGACTGTGAGTATCCTCTTCCTGGTGGCCTCAGGATTGCACCAGGCTGGCCCTTGGCAGGAACTAAGCTATAAATTCTCCTAGGAATATTTTGCTTCAACAGGATCACGTTGAGGTGTGTGTTTTGGTTTGTTTGTATACTTCTCTTTTGGATGAGGGTCTTGTTGCTGTGGCGAGATGCTTGCAAGTCCTCTGGGGCCAGCTCCTCTTCTGTCCCATAGAGTGGGACATAGAGCTCCTGCTCTGTCCCGCAGAGCAGTGCTCCTTGATGTGGCAGGGGGTGCACGTGGCTGTGATGCAGCTGGGCAAGCCAAGTGGATGGAGATCTCACTTGGCACGTGTGGCAAGGCCGGCCCTCCTGTGCCTGAGCGTGCCTCTCTGAGTGACTCCTCCCCTGCCCCACTTGGAGACCACAGTTGAGTCCCGGAATCATCCCCAAGTCCCATGTTTGGAAATAGAAACTTCATCTTGGATAATCTGTTAGTATAAAGCAAAAATAAGAAAAAAAAAAATCAAGCTTTCATGAAGATATCCAACTAGCTAGAGTTAGGACAGCTAACTCCTCTGCCCTTCCTCAAATTTCTGTTGTAGAAACAATAGTTTGGACTGCTTTTGTTTGCTGTCATAGCAGTTCTGAAATTAGGTAGTAGTTAAATCTCTGGCAGTTTCTGGCCAGTCTCAGGCCCAAAGCAGAGATGCTTTGGTGTGCTAATGCCCGGCCACTTGGTCCAGTGTGGTAGTCTGTGGAAGAGACCAGGAAAATGCACTAATTCTAAATATAATAGCTAACCTATGTTGCAAGTTCCAGTTACATGTGTAAAGCTGAAATGTAACGTACATTAAAATCAAATTTGACTTCAAATTCTGTGTACTTGAGGTTTGCTTTGAACCTGGATAAAAGTGATGTTTTATGTTTTTCATCTAATGGCTGTAAACTGTAGTAATAGAATAAAAAAAACCAAAACATTGAAAATCAGAGCTTCTGCCTGGTTCACCTACATTTTACTTTTCTTTAGAATGGTTTCTTCCTTCCCATTGTTTTTACCATCCCTTTATTTGGCTTTTCCTTTTCACTGGGTTTTTTTAATTTGTTGTTTGACATCGGTCTTCCTCCCCACCATGGCTTTTGTTTTTTATCACAAGTTCATGTGGCTCAAATCCAGATTGCGGCAGGCAGAGAAGGACCGTCAGTTGGCCGAGCAGGACAACCGTCTCTTCAAGCAGGAGTTTGGGGACAAAATCAACAGCCTGCAGCTGGAAGTGGAAGACCTCTCCCGGCAGCGGTGAAGACACCTCTTTCTATCTGTTTGTAGGGCTGTTGTTAATATGTCTAATATAAAAACTGGCAGGACAGCCCCCAGAGTAGGAAGGGTTTGGAAGAGGGAGAGGAACAAGCTGTGGAGCCTCTCTGGGAAGCTCAGGTAGACCTTTGACTGCAATCTAGACCTTGACCAAGTCTAGCACGAGGTATCTTCCCCCCCATTAGAGTGACTTTTGCTCTTAAGCAAACTACAAAAGCCAACAGTTTGGCTGTTGCTTATCAGCAGCAATGTACCAACTAAGCCTTTGCCTGGCGACAGCACTTTGGCAGAAGCACGGAATAGTTTTGGAGCAAGGGAAGCCGTTCCTATGGCCAGCCTCACAAGCAGTACCTGCTCCTTTCTAGTCCAAACTGGGTTATTTTGATAAGAGGCAATTGAAAAAAATGGAAGTGGAATGTTAGAAGACTTGGCAAGAGCTGTCAAATTTTGCCTTGCAGTGTCCTCCATTTACTAACGTGAGGAAAATAGAAATCCTCTTATCCTAAAATAGAAGAGCTTCTCATTCTGCAGACATGACGCATCCTCTGTTCTGTAGCAAGGTCACTGGGAGGAGTTTTATGAAAGCCTTGGTGGCTGTGTGTCTGTTTTGGTCTTCCCTCCTGCCACATCTGCTTGGGTTGATGTGGAGTTCCAGGTGTGCCCGTGAAGGAGGTGTTTGCATGTGTTGGTACAAGGCTGCTCTTATGCATGTCTGAGTATGGAAATACAACCCTCAGTTATGTCAGACTGGGCCCAAAAGTATGAAATTGGACAAGCTTGGAAGTATTAATAGATAAAGGCAAGAATCTGCTTTACATGTGCATTTTGTACAAAGTCAGTTTAGCTGAATTAGTGTAACCCTTGGGGAAGGACACTTGCAAAAGAATCTATTTTTGCCTCAGTTGGGTTTGTACCAATTCCTCCTTCACTCACGCTAGATGAAGGTGACAGCTTGAAAATGAGTGAACCTCCTTGCCAGGAGACTGTACTGCCTGCCCGGGTGTCTGAAGCAGGGAGATGTTAGAGGTGCTGCAGTGGTGGTGAGGGTTTGAACCCTTGGTTTGAACCCTTGTGCCTCGGCATTTTGTGCCCGAGCACACGAGGAGATAGTGTTTGACCAAGGGGGAACTTGGAGCTCTTCAGCTGGGGTTCAGTCCCTTGGGCATGGAGACAGGGCTAAGCAGTTGATGCCATGTAGACTGTCCATGTTGAGTGTTGAATAAAAGCAGAGCCTTTATTCACGTTTCCTCTTCAATGTTACAGGAGCCAGCTTGAACTGGAGCTGAAGCGGGAGAGGGACAGATGGTCGCACAGTCACCCAAGTAGCCAAGAAAACAAAAAGGGCTGCCTAAAGCACCAGTCAAGAGTGGTAATGACAGCTTGAGTCATCTGGGCTTGTACTTAAGCGTAGCTTAATTTTGCTCACTCTTTCCTTGGGTTTTATAAGGCAGTGATTACGTTTAGCAGCAACACCAAGATGAACTTTGAACCTTTTTTCATACGTTCACTAAATAATCATTCTATTTGAGCTCTGCTGAAATATTTAAAGCACTGCAGAACGTGGTTTCCTCTTCCTGTATGGGCAGCTCGCAGCATCTTGCAAATAACTGTGTTTTTTCTGTGGTTTAATAAAAGTGAATATGACATTATAGAAGAGATGCTATGCTCGTATCTGATGAAAAGTAAACTAGCTTTTTTTTTTTTCTTTAAACATCATGTTAAAGAGTCTTTTCTTGGAAGCATTGAACAGCAAAACTCTCCAGCAATAAGTTGTCTTTAGAAAGCACCACAGAGAAATTTCAGTTTGCTTGTGTGGCTGTGCACTGGTGAGTTCAGTGTTTTTAAAGCGTAAGGCAGTGCTCATCTCAAGGGTAAAACTGATGGTCCTCAAGTGAAACTCCCTTTTTAGAAGTCAATTTGCCTTTGAAAGTACAAACCTGCTTCTTTGGCTTTTCTTTGTAAAACTGAAACAGGTTTTTGGTGAGAACTGGCTGTAAAACAGCTATTTCTGAGGCAGACTTAAAAATAAACACCTCATGAATATGAGAACAGCTAAATAATACAGGTGGCTTCCAAAATTCCTGCTGGCCTTGCTGCCCTGATGGCCAGTCCTCGTGGGGCTGCTTGTGGAACGCTCGGCCTCACCCTGGAGGCCACCTGAATTGTTCAGGTTTCTGTGAGGTAGGGGGCTAATGTGGAGGCTAGTGCTTTAGAAGGGATTTCTCTTTCGCCACAAAGTTTAAAGGTGAGTTTTGGTCCCAAGGAGTTTGCATTCCTGGAACTGTACGGGTTTGATGGAAGTTGCAGCAGGGAGTTGGGAGCAGGGCTTGTGAGCCTGGGTGGTTCTGTCAGGGCTTGCTGTGCAGGCAGGGCACTAATTTAGACAGCTAAGTTAGGTAGCAGGAGTTAGGTGCATATTTTGGGCCATGACCTAATTCTTCTCATGGAGGGAAGATTTGTTTCCTTTTCTAGCTGAGAGGATTTGTTTCACGGATCGGTTTTAAAAGGCCTGTAAAGCCAGTTGGCCTTTCAACTTGTGCTGGAGAGGGGAAGAAAAAGGAAGAAAAACATGGCCATTAAGTTCCTCCTCCTCTAGTGAAAGAATACTTTAGGCTATTTTTAAATTTCCTTAAGGGCATCCTGTTCCTGGGCATGGTTTATGGGTATGAATATTCCTTAAATATTGCTGTAATACGTGGCTGTGAGCAGCATGGTACAGGTGAAGTGGGAGTTTGTTCATATAGTTTGACTAACTGGTAAATGTTTCCTTTGGTCAGGATGGGAAGCTCAAAATCCAGGAAGAAAATGCTAAACAGAAACAGCTATCAAGAGAGGAGAACAGTGTCCTGCCACATAAGTATGGAAGACATTCTGTATTTCCTTTTTCTCTGGTTCCAAGTCCTGCTTGCCCTTTCTCCAATTGCTTTGCTGATGGTTGAGAAGTTAGGTCTTGGTTCAGAGAGCGTAGAAGCTTTGGAAGTGCTCTCGGAATGTCACTAGGGAAAAAATGCAGCGCTGTAACACAGCGTGCTGAATGCCAACGTAAAGGTGATCAGCCAAGTGTTGTCGTAAAAATAGCATAAGCTCAATTCTTATCTGCTTTATCAAATATTTATCAGATATTAAACACCTTGAAGGCCTTTTACCTCCCCATTTCACCTTGATTGCAGAAGCATCGTAGGTCTTGGGACAGAAATCTGTCTGGAAGGTTTCATGACTTGATGTTATCATTATATGTAGAAATACAATGATAAATTATCTTTCCAGAGCAATGCTGGTGGTGTGGTTTGGGAGAAATAAAACGAAAAATCAGTATGGTTAGGATTTAAAAAATAGTCTGAGGGAATCCTGATGCTCCAGAACTGTGTGGGTGTTTCTTTGATTTTATCTTATTTATTTATTTATTTATTTTTAAACAGTAGTGGTTTAAATGAGCGGTACCTGCAAGTGACAATGTTCTTGTCTTGTAGGTTACAGAGCAGCTTGCAGGACGAGCAGGTTAGTGATACGTTTCCTTGCTTTGAAGTGCTGATTTGCAAATGTGTGGCGGGAGCCCGTGGAATACTGCAGCACCTTCCTTGGCCCGTGTACCCTCAAGTTTATCCTTGGGATTTTGCCATCGGGAGGATTTGTCTGCAGGGCCCATAGCATCCATTGTCCCCTGGAGGAGAGGCGCTGCTTGTCTCGTTAGAAGAGCTGTTAGCTGGCAGTGCTCACGTGCTGGAGGGCATTTTGTACCCGCAGCACAACTGAGGGCCCTCTTGTAGGTGCTGTGTAAAGCTGACCTGAGTGTCTTCTCTCCCTGCCCCGAGTGCAGGAGCAGCTCTCAGCCCCGGGCCATGCCCAGCTCTGCCAACTCTGCCGAGAAGAAAGCAGCCGAAGCAAGAAAAAGGTGAGTCCTGAGGCTGGTGCGTTCAGCTGTGTGAGGAATGTACACAATTCCCCTCGTTTTCCTTGGACAAAAGACGACAAATGGGTGACACGTCTGCTGGTGACCTGGGGCCAAGAAACTGCTCCTTTGCTGATGCTCGCTCTGCTAAGACAAATGGGCTGAATATCAGAGATTGGAGGACCCCCAGCTTCTTGGGTGCTCGGCTTCTCCTTCTTCTTTCCAGTTTCCTCCCTGCCATTTTTAACTAAATGATTTTGCTGGCACTGACCAGAAATGAGAACAGGAGGGGGCTGGAGCCTGTTATTTCTCCACTCTAACTGTAATGGCTGCTTTTCCCCAACATCACATTCAGTTTTGTGCCCCTCAGTGGAAGGACAAAACACCTTGTGTAGGGTGGCTCTGCTGCCTCTGGATCTCCCTTCCTGCAGAGTGGGGAAAAAAATTCCACGAAAACCAAGATTCATAAGGCGAGGGAACTCCCCTGCTGCAGCAGGGCGGTGCCCTGGCAGAAAGGTGGCGAGGGGCTGGCACGTTGTCCCTGGCTGCCCTTGGGTTAAGGACGTGCTCCTGACTTCCCTTGTCCTGCGTTTCAGAACGTGTGCCAGAACTGCGGCGGCGTCTTCTGCGAAGCCTGCTCGGCGCACGAGCTGCCGCTGCCGTCCAGCATCCAGCCCGAGCGCGTGTGCAACCCCTGCCACGGGCGCCTCATGCAGCAGTACTCGAGCAGCCCCTTGTAGGGCGCGCGCCGGCACCGGCCCCTTCCCGTAGCTCGCAGTGGCCTCGGAAGCGCCAAGGGGAGCGTGAGGAGCAGCCGTGACCTGCAACCCGCCGGAGGCTGCTTGTGGTGGTGATGGTTTCTCGTGAAGAACCAGGGACAGCCGGAGCCTGCCCGCTTGGCCAGGCTCCCTGCTGTGGGGCCGCAGCCTGGCTGGGTGACAGGCTCGGAGGGCTGCACACGAGGTGGCCTGAGAGACGCTGCGGCTGCGTGGCCCTGTGTGGGGCACGGGCTCCTCTTCCTTGGCCGTGCTGGCTCAAAGCACAACAGGAGAGTTCTTGAAACCATGTGGGGCTGCACTTGGGAAACACCGTTTCCCTTTGCCCTGCTGCCTTTGACAGTCTGGCTCGACCACGTTACTTCAGTGCCAGTACCCGGTAATACACCAGCAAAGTTTAGTTCAGCCCTCGGGCAGTGGTTTTGTTATCCACATCCCTATCAAAAATCAAAAGACAGGAAGAAGGGGGGGGGAGGAGGGGGGGGGGGGAAAAAAAAAAGCCCTCCAAGTCCTTAAATGATTTAGGGATTTGCGAAGTGGTGGTTGGGGTCTTTTCTGAGGCATGCATGATGTGAGAACTGACCTGCACTGCTCTCATCCTTCCAGTGGGCATGGAAGTGCCTCTCTGGCCTTACTGTTGCAGACTTTTCACCGTGACTTGGCCACAGGGTGGTGGCCAAACCCAAGGGCTGCAACACTACTTTGTCTCCACATAGCAACTGGAGGAATTGGATTTCCGTGTCCTTAGGTGCACGGCATCCTACTCCCTAACTACACAGGATGTTCAGGGTCACGTTTGGACACTGTCCCCTTTGTGCATGTGAGAGTGGTTATAACGTATCTGGTGTTTCACTGTATTTTGTCAGATTAAGGTGAAGATGGGATGAAGTCTGGATGCTTTTCACTTAGTAGAAAATCTATTCTGAAACGCATTTTCAAGGGGCTTTACAATTCACGCTGCGTCATTTGTTGTTGCTGTTACCTTAAGGAGTTGTGTTTTACCCCAAGAAGTGGTGGCTTCCTCATAAAGCGCACGTAGCAGGTAAGAGTTGGTTTGTTCTTAGATACTGGAAGCCTGCTTGAGTCTTCAGCAGTCCCTAGCAAACTGATAGGATGTGGCTGTTAGAATCACTTGGTGTTGTACAAGTTGTATTAGAGGGCAGTGGTTTAATTCTTTTAAAAGGGTTTTTTCAGCCATTGAAGTGGCTGGAGCTGCAGGGAAAAGCCTGTCGGAGTGGAGGGGGGTTACAGTAAGTCATGGTGGAGCTGGGAGCAGGAGCTGGTTTCCTCCAGTTCCCTGCTGGACCTGGCTTTTTCTGCCACACGAGCCCTTTCTGCCTCTTTGTGCCCTTGAGAGAGGGAGTGTTTCAGAAGGGCCACTTGCAATGCTTTTCCATATTCTCTTTTTTCCCCTTCGTGGTGGCAGTTACTGCCTGGATTTTCTCATTGCTGTCTCTTCAAGTAGACTAGAAGCAGGAAATAGCTTAAAATGGAAAAAGGCTGGAATAGATTTCAAGGATGCGATACCATTGCTGAATGGAGAAGGTGCTGAATTAACTGGCAACGAGCAGTAGCTTGGTGCACATACTGTACATATTTATGGGGATTTTTTAATTCCTGTACCTGAAAACCAATGTGACTTCTCTCCCAAAGAACTTCTGACCCAAGCAGCTGGAGTGCTGCAAGTTGAAACTGGAAACACAGCCCTTCTGTGCTGGTATGTGCAGCTTGAATTGCGCAGCTCATCGGAGACCTGGCTGCTGCCTCCCTGTCCCCTAGGAACCATCACTGCTCCAATTGCTCCAAGCAAAGCCTGGGCTCCTCTTCATTTAACCAAGCAGGACAGGGGTTTGGCAGCTCCTTTTAAGTCACCCGAGATGGCTGGGAAGGAGCAGCCCTTCCAGGCCGTGCCTGAAGCCCCTTGAGGACACAGCTCTGGCTGTGCTAACCGCAGGTGACATTTGGAAAGGTCAGAGCGAGCTGCGTGTTGGCTGCCACATGTGGGGCTCACCGCTCGCTGTGCTCTGTTGGGGCAGATGTCAGTGTGGGTGCCTACCCTCAAGCAGGTGCTGGGTGTTATGGTGCTTGGTCCTGCTGCAAGGGTTCAAGGTGCCTTTGCTCAGGTTCTGCAGCCTTGGGGAGTTGCACCTGGAATGCTTGGACGGGGGAGAGGGGAAGGCCACTTGTGTTAATTTTGCTCCATGCAATAAATTTCCTCATGGGTATCTTGCATTCTGAGCCCTCCTTCCTTTCTGTTGGGGTGTATCATTGGGGATGTCTTCCCAAACCTGTAACAGCTGCACAGGTGCTTGCACAGCATGAGAGCTGAGCGGTAAGAGGGGCAAGGTTTAACTACCCAATACAGTGCCTTAGGATCTCGCATCACTTTCATTTAGCTTTATTGCCAATGCTCTTCTGTTAATACAGTGTAAGGTGTAACTCAGCCCTTAATGTGCAATCATGTCGCCTGCTTGGGCTCCCCATCTGCTTCCAGAACAGGTTACTGGGCCTACCTTTTACCCCAGCTCCATCCCTGAGCAGCAGGGGCTGTGTCCAAAGCAGCCGCCAAGACACGTCATTGAGCTCAGATCCTTTTCCACCTCTTCAAAAGGACTTAGGCAGAGTATATCAAGGCAATTTATTACATGCTTTTACACACATCCAAACTATATTTTACAGCTTATGCTTGCCGCGGAGCAGTGACACATGTGTGTCCTCTTCATGATGATAACCACGGAATGTGCTGGCTTTGGCCTAAGAAAAAAACAAGAGAAAAAACACTTTACTTCAGTGCAGAGTTATTGATTAGTTGCCTTTTCTGAAATGAATACTTTGCTGTTAATGTAAACACTTGTTTCCAATAATGAGACAGTAGAAGCTGACAATTTTAAAAGATATTACCAAAAATGGTTAAAGCCTGCATTTGAAGAAAAGCCCCGTAACAGGTTTGTGTAATTCTTAGAGAGTTGTGGGAGTGGGGGAATTAAAAATCGGTAAGTTGAAGACTGTCCGAGTTGGTCGATCTTGCCCAGAGTTGTAAGCAGCCTTTCTCCCTTGCTGAAGGAGCAGTTACCGTCACTGTTCTGCTCTAGGAAAAAGCTTCCCTGCCTGGGCCTAGAGTAACAGCAGAATCTCTGTACAAGCCAGAAGCCAGAGTGTTTTAGAAAACCCAACAGAACAGATTTGAGCGCATTCCAGACTGCGTTAGTGGCAGGAATTGCCTTGCAAGCAGCTTTCCCAACTTGAGCTAATTAATCTTTTAAAAAAATATGCATCTTACAGGCTGTACAATAAAAATAAAAGGGGGGGCTGCACTTACCAAACGTGCTCTCCTTCCACTGTCCCTAGCAATCTTGTTTGACGTGTGGGTGCTTGTTCAGGAAGAGCTCGATGGAGCTGCACTCTGGGGAGAAGCGGGGAGAGGTCACTTGGCATGGGGTTTTTGTGTGTTACATGCTCTTCTCTCTGCCCAGTCTCATGCACAGAGCAGCGGGCCCTTCCCATGTTAAAATGGGCCCGTGTGGCACGGGGCAGGAGAGCTGGGCTCGGGGGAAGCAGCTGAGGCTCCGGGGCTCCCCCCAGCCCACGCTCTTCCGTGTCACTCACGGGCGTTGGACTCCTGCTTGGCCGCTGCTGCCGCAGCCTCCTCGTGGCTCTCGAAGTGCACGTCTGCCGCTCCCGTGGCCTCGCCCTGGGAGTTGTATTCCATCAGCACCCTCGTGGGCTTCAGGGGAGCAAAAAACTGAAAGGGAGAAGAAAGAAATGGAAAAAAAAAATGGGGATCCCAATGGGGTGAGGGGGGTGAACAGACTTGCCCTCAATGCAACTACAGAAAGAGCAGATTCCACTTTCAGGACATCCACAGGTCTAAAAACCAGGAACCTACAGGATCCAGCGACACAGGGGGAGCTTGGTTATGAGTGGGGTTATTTTTTACACTAACAAGGCGTGTGTAATCTCAGAGCTCGGCACCAGAGCAGCCCCCTGCCACCCTCTGCCTCCCTGCCCGGGGGAACGTGATGCACAGGCCAAGTCCCCCATTCTGCACTGCAGCCCAAGGGCCGGGCTGTGACAGGAACCAACGTCCTCACCCGGCACCCACCTTCTGTGCAGTAACCAGAGTCACTGACGCTACCTGCTGCCTTTCTGTGACTCCAGGCTATTAAAACCATCCTTGTTTGCAAGGGAAGGGAGCACAACCCCGAGCCCTAGAGACCCTCTCAGCCCCTGTCCCCAAGGGCTCCCACGCCGTGGGGAACTGCTAACCCTGGTGGCAGCTGAAGGTCCCACATGCGAGGCCGCCCCAGGGCTGACACGGGCAGGGAGGAGGGACAAACTTCGAGCTCCTTCCTCTGTCAAGCTAAACCAGTGAGTGCTGGTACTGAGAGGCACCATGGTTCACCCCCGCGCTGCTGCTCACGTTGATCATGTCCTGGGCACTGGCTTCGGCAGGAAAACCCCTCACGTGGACAAAAGGCTGCGAGGGGGAGGCATCCGCAGCTTCCGACAGGCGCCGCAGCCTTTCCACGAGCTCTCCCTGCGGACCTGCAGGAGCAGCACAAGCCCCGTGAGCACTGCAAGCACCGAGCCCTCGGCTGGGAGCTGCACAACCCAGGGTTGCACTAAGGGGAAGGTGCCTCACGGAAGGCGGGGGACTCACTGCTCTCTCTTTGGGCGCTGGATCCCGTGTAACCTTGTTCTCCTTCTGCAGGCTTGGAGCCGAGTTCTCTGGGCGCCCTCGCGCAGGGCGCCGCGTCCTGCATCGCGTGCCTCTGCATGTGATGCTTCCTGCCGATGTACACCTCTATGTACCTAGGGCGAGGAGGAGGCGTTACAGAGCCCGAACACAGCCCCTGCACAGCCCTCCACGCTTCAAGAAAGCTTCGTTATGCTTTGGGACATCCTTCCCTCTCAGCTCCCCTTCCCCACTGCACGGGGAGCAAGTCCTGGTGCGCGGTAACTGCCAAGTAACAGCTTTGAAGAATTAAGTTCCTATTTAAATAATTTAAGTTATTCCGTTAGATTTATGAGAGCCCTTTAGCAATGACCCTTTTTGACTGGAAACGACAGCTCTTCTTTTTGAACACACACACACGGCCAAATGGACTAGCAGTTTTGCCCACCAGGCCCCTTTAGCTCGCAGCCTTTTAGGTGGCTCTGGTAGAAGCCCTGTGCAACACGACAAGCAGGTGCTTAACGGCACCTCGATTCACGGGGCAGGTAATCTCCCCTCCCAAGGGAGGCAGGCAGGTAATTCAACCATTGGGCACGTCTAGGGGAGGAGGGGGTTCCTTTAAAATGGGGGAGAGAGATGCAGGAAAGAAGGGAATATGAGAAGGGAAGTGGATGCGAGTAGTCTGTAAAGGTGACGTGGCTGGAGGAACCATTCTACAAGGCGACATTTGGAAAGAGCAGTAAGCTCCCAAAGGCTCTCCCAAAGGAGAGGGTCAACCCAGGCCCTAAGTCCCATGAAAAGCTCAGCACTCGTGTGCGGAGCTGCACGTGCTCCGGCCTGAGGAAAGACGGGATGGGAGTGGAGAGGGCCCAAGTGGCAGTGCCCAAGTGTGGGACACATGGAGCTGGGAAGGGGGCTCGAGCCAGCAGGTCGGGTGCTTCGGAGCAGCCGCTGCTGCCCCTTAGCCGGAGCGAGGCACCTACCTATTCCCAATGTACTCCCTGTGCCTTAGGAGGGCCTTGGCTGCCATGTCGGGAGCTGCAAACTGCACGTAGGCTTCGCCCGTGCGTCTGTCCCCCCGGTTCACAAACACTAGGTCAGTTATGCTCAGACCTACATGCAGCAGCAGCAGGAGGAAAAAGGCATTTATCATTGAGGAGAACTTGTGCCATAGCCCAAAAGGACATCCCTTCCCATCCCCATCCTTCTGAAGAGGAGCCAACCCAGAGGTCACCTAGCCCTGAGCCAGCTGCTCATGCTGCCCCAAACACCCGCCGTGCTCGGCTTGCTCCACAGGGGAGCTCGCCCGTCGTCATTCACAACCACCAGGCAAGAGGAGGCCACCAGGAGCAACCCACGGCCTCTGCACGGCGGCTGGGCCAGCAGCATGTGTGCCTGTTCCAGATGTACCTCCATCCACCCCCAAGTTGGGCTCACTGGTGCTCCGACTTTCATATGCACGTTTTCTCCCTGCTTAAATTATCCAGATGGGATGTGGAAGCAATGGGATGTGGGGGAAAAAGTGATCTAGATTCATCCCTGATTTCCCCCCAACGACTGTTGCAATAACTGGCCCTATGTCAGACCTCCAGAAACAGTCACAGTTGCATTGTAATCCTGCAGCTGAAGCCTTGAGATGCCTCCAGCTGCAAGGGGACAGTTCTATCTCCATAGGAGGAAGAACTTCTTTACTGTGAGGGTGACAGAGCAGTGGAACAGGCTGCCCAGGGAGGCTGTGGAAACTCCTTCTCTGGAGATCTTCCAAATCCACCTGGATGCTGCCCTGTGCCCTGTGCTCAGGGTGTCCCTGCTGGAGCAGGGTTGTTGGACTAGATGATCTCTAGAGGTCCCTTCCAACCTCAACCATTCTGTGATTCTGCGATTCTTGCAATGCTCATGATGCTCATGGCTTCCAGGGTAGGCTGGAATGCTCAGCAGGAGCCTGGCACAACTGCCTCGGGGCGAGAAATGGGGAAGAGCCAGCGCTCGTGCGACCTACCCGCAAAGAAATCCGCGATGTCGTCCTCGGTGCAGCTGTAGGGCAGCCCTCTGAGCATCACGACCCCGTCGTTCATGGCCCTGGACTCGTCGCGCAGGCTCTGCAGCAGGCCCTCCACATCTTTGTCGTGCACCTCAAACACTGCGAGGGACACGGGGCACACGGTGCGTCGGCCTCGCCGGCCGCACGAGGCGGCCCCCGCGGAGCTGCCGCCTTCGACGGCAACGTCCTCCCCGCCACCTCCTTCCCGTTTTTCCCTCTCGGGAGAGCACTCAGCGACACCGCAGGGCTCCCGGCCTCCGTGTCCAGCCCTGCCAAGTCTCCCTTCCTGCTCCTGCTGCTTCCTTCCCTCTGCACTTTTCAGGTGACTCCGACTTTCCAAGCACCTCTTGCCCACGGCAGCGTCGTTCTTCTCCCCGTTGCCCCTGCCCTCTCACACGCACCTTTCACGTAGCGTGGGCCCATGTATCTCAAGTTCTTTTCCAAGGCCCTCTCGACATCGGCTTTGGATTCCAGCTCTATCAAGGCGTCGCCCCTGCGCCTCCCATCCCTGTTTAAGAGGAAGTGTATGCCGTTCTCACCGTTTCGAATTCTACAGCCTGGAAATCAGGGAAGAGGGGACACAAGGAATCATAGGCAACTGCAGCACACATGGGGGGAAGAGGGGTAGATCTTGGGGCAACACTGACATTCCCCACAGGGCCATTTCGCTCCGCGGTGTGAAACGCCGTCCCGAAACAGGGCCCGGGAATTCCCTTGCTAACCCTGGGGCTAACACGAAATATTCCCTGGAGAGGGAGCCGAGGCGGCATCCACCACCTCCATCACCATCACCACATCCACCACCTCCGGGGCTGCGGAAGCGGCTCATGCAGCCCCATGCAGCCCGTGCTGCCTGCTTCAGAGAGCAGCGCTGTCTGTGTTTTAAGGCCGCTGCTTTGGGGGGGACGCTATGGGGCTCCGGTGACCCGCGCCCTGCCCGCCGGGAGCTCTTTTCCCTAGGAGCTGGGATCGCCTTGGCAGCTCCGCATGTTCCCGACCCCATGGGCTCTGCTGCAGCGCGAGCAGCACCCGGCACAGCGGGAATGCGGCCAAGCTGTGGGAGAGCGGGTAGTGCTTCAGGTCCCAAGGGAGCTGGAAGGGGGCTGGGAAGGAAGGAGCTGCCGGGAATGGGGGCTGTGGAGCAGGGGCCCCCAGGGCAGCATCCGGAGCCCAGAGCCGGGGAGGCCTCCAGGCGAGGCCGGGGCTCCCGGCGCGGTCCCCACGGCGGTGCGTACTGTCGAAGAAGGCGAGCACGTCCTCCTCGGTGCAGGAGAAGGGGAAGCCCTGCGCGCGGATCAGGAACACGGGCTCCTCGGCGCGGCGCGGCGGGCGCCCGGCCACCTGCGGGCACACGCGGCCGG